GGTGTTTATTAATATCTCGGCAAGTCTACACATATACAGAGGGTATTTGTAATATGTTCGTTCATCGAAGTTGACATGTATATGAGTGTGCCCAGCATGCTCAAGATGAGGTTAAAGCATGAGTAGACATGAAAAGAAAATGTATATTTATTTTCTTCACAATCTTTCTCTGAAAGTCATAGTAACTGTGACATTAAGATGGTAAAGTGTTATTTCACTTGAGTAATATATGGATTTAATATGTTTAGTGTCACCTGGGTCAGGGTTCTGTGTGTTGTTTGGGAGATTATACAGTGTCACCTTGGGGCAGGGTTCTGTCTGCTGTGGGGGAGACTATACAGTGTCACCTTGGGGCAGGGTTCTGTCTGCTGTGGGGGAGACTCTACAGTATCACTTGGGGCAGGGTTCTGTCTGCTGTGGGGGAGACTATACAGTGTCACCTTGGGCAGGGTCCTGGCTGTTGTGGGGGGAGACTCTACAGTATCACTTGGGGCAGGGTTCTGTCTGCTGTGGGGGAGACTCTACAGTGTCACCTGGGCCAGGGTTCTGTCTGCTGTGGGGGAGACTCTACAGTGTCACCTGGGCCAGGGTTCTGTCTGTTGTATGTGTGTTTGTGTGTCTGGGGGGGGGGGAGACTATAGTATCACTTGGGGCAGGGTTCTGTCTGTTGTGGGGGAGACTCTACAGTGTCACTTGGGGCAGGGTTCTGTCTGTTGTGGGGGAGACTCTACAGTGTCACTTGGGGCAGGGTTCTGTCTGTTGTTGGGGAGACTATACAGTGTCACCTTGGGCAGGGTTCTGTCTGTTGTTGGAGAGACTCTACAGTGTCACTTGGGGCAGGGTTCTGTCTGTTGTGAGGGGAGACTATACAGTGTCACCTTGGGCAGGGTTCTGTCTGTTGTTGGGGAGACTCTACAGTGTCACCTTGGGCAGGGTTCTGTCTGTTGTTGGGGAGACTCTACAGTGTCACCTTGGCCAGGGTTCTGTCTGTTGTGTGTGTGTGTGTGTGTGTGTGTGTGTGTGTGTGTGTGTGTGTGTGTATGTGTCTGGGGGGTGGGGGGGGCGTTGTGTGGGAGACTCTACAGTATCACTTGGGGCAGGGTTCTGTCTGTTGTGAGGGGAGACTCTACAGTGTCACCTTGGGCAGGGTTCTGTGTGTTGTGGGGAGACTATACAGTGTCATTTTGGGCAGGGTTCTGTCTGTTGATGAGGAGACTCTACAGTGTCACCTTGGGCAGGGTTTAGTGTGTTGTTGGGAGACTCTACAGTGTCACCAGGGGCATGGTACTGTCTGGTGTGTGGGGGAGTCTACAGTGTCACCATGTTGCCCTGTATTGCCCATGTAGAAAGCTGAAAGTGGCCTGTGCTGGAAGATTTATGAAGTGTGTCCCCTGTGTGTTGAGTGGTGTAGGTTTTACTGCCTCATGGCTCCTGGTGGAGTTAGGTAAACACTACAGTTTCACAAACACCAGGAAAACTCTCACCTCGGTACCAGAATGTCATCGTTAAATGACTTTATTGGTTTTCTGTGGATGGATGCAAACTTTTAAAGGTCAACTTACAGCTGGTGTTACTTATTCTTAGAAGACATGAATGTACAACAGATTGACACAGTCCACTGCAGCTGTAGACAGTGGAGGGAAGCAGATGATGCAGGGACTGTAGATGTGTGGATGTCTCCTGTCATGGATTACCCTTCGAGACATACCATAATGTAGAGGAAGACATTCACCAGAAAAACAAGGTCTTTATTTCTAGGAAGCTCAGTGTCAAGGCATATACAGTTTCTCCCTCAGCTGTTACCATCCTGTCACAGTATGTGATATCAGTTTATGAATTATTCCATAGAAGGGTATATTATTTATCGCTTAGTGTCTGTGTGGTGCTATTATTTGTTAGTCTGAGATTCAGGGATAATTGTGTGTGCAGACACATTATTTTGCTTTATATATGAGAACCTGGTAATATTTCATTTCTATGTGTATATATAGAAGGCAGTTGGCACTGAAGACTATGTTTGACATATATACTTTCGAGATCTGACTGGATCCGACTGTACCAGTATGATGCTCTATATACACCAGTATGATGTTCTAATATACACCAATTTGATGTTCAATATTCACCAGTATGATATTCACCAGTATGATGTTCAATGTTCACCAGTATGATGTTCAATATACACCAGTATGATGTTCAATATTCACCAGTATTATGTTCTATATACACCAGTATGATGTTCTATATTCACCAGTATGATGTTCAATATACACCATTATGATGTTCAATATTCACCAGTATGATGTTCAATATACACCAGCATGATGTTCAATATACACCAGTTTGATGTTCCACATACACCAGTATGATGTTCTACATACACCTGTATGGTGTTCTACATACACCAGTATGATGTTCTACATACACCAGTATGATGTTCTACATACACCAGTATGATGTTCTATATACACCAGTATGATGTTCAATATTCACCAGTATGATGTTCAATATACACCAGTATGATGTTCTACATACACCGGGGGCACGGGTGGCCCAGTCGTCTAAGGCGCTGCAATTCGCTGTGCAGAGTTGCGTCCCCTGGACACGCCAGAAACCTATGATTGTGGGTTCGAATCCCGGTTCACCCCGATTATGTTTCTAGGTTTGTCAGCACCATACCCGTGCTCGTGGGTTTCACCGAAGTGGTAAATGTCTAAGACCTGCATCACTTCGGGCTTTCCTCCCACATTAAGCTGACAAGCCGTGATATAACTGGAATAATGTTAAAAGCGGTGTTAAACCCAACTCACTCACTCACTCTACATACACCAGTATGATGTTCTACATACACCAGTATGATGTTCAATATACACCAGTATGATGTTCACTCCAGTATGATGTTGAATATACACCAGTATGATGTTCTACATAAACCTGTATGATGTTCAATATACACCAGTATAGTGTTCAATATACACCAGTATGATGTTCTAATTTCTCCAGTATGATGTTCAAAATACACCAGTGTGATGTTCTACCTACACCAGAATGATGTTCTAATGAAATTTTCAATCCTGGTTCAGGAACTTATCTGTTATGTCATCACCTGATCACTGTCAACTAAATCGAATCGTCCATGCATATGAGAGACAAATTCCTTCTGAAATATTAACAAGCTTTAACCCTGTATAAATTCCTGACATTATGGGGAGGACCTGATAAGTTGGGATTACACATAGGCAAGACACTCAGGCTCAGATAGATGTGTTTGAGCAGCGACAGTGGAGAATGCTTTCATAAATTAATGTAGATGTTAAACTGATTCATCTAATGGCACATATATCTTGCGGACACAGAGACGCAGAGAAGAGACACCTATGTGTATGCTCACCTCCACCTCCACACAGCACCTGTAATAACAGTTCAGGTGTCAAGTGTGTGTTTGATGATGAGTTCTCTTCAGCATGTTCAGGGAATCACATTGTTGTATAATGGAGCAGTGTTTGTGAATGATAAAAGTGTTTAGGTTACCCGATTTTGTGTATGGCAACAATTCATATGAATTCATTCAGCTTCAATTTGGCATTCACAACACTATTGCAGTATGTCACAAGTTTACACGTATATAGTTTGTTGTGCGAGTCCATGCTATCGTCCATGTGTGACCAAACTTACACTGAGAATAAAGATATTTTAATTTGTATCATGGTCTCATCAAACACACATCACAACCTTCGAATATTCTCTTTGGCTCAGCTATCCTTTTTTCTTTACATTGTCTGCAATGTCAGCAGGTGTTAAGCTAATGAACATCCCAGCCTCAATCTTGTTACATCTTGACAAAATTATGCCATTAACTGAGGGCGAAGTAAACCCCTCAGATGGGAATTTGTGAATATGATAAACAATCTCATTACATTCCACAACACTGAGGTATACGTTTGGAGAGACTGACCAGTGAAAGGTAGATATTTACACCTGTGGACACCTGAGGGCACCTGTCGTTACCTTTGATGTTTGGCAGAGGTGGAGTCCCAGGTGAGACAGTTCGGGACAGCCGTGATCTAAGATGCTATCTGAGATTGCCTGGGAGTGTTCTCTCTCCCTCCTGCCTCCAGGAAACTAGCCTCATCTCTCTGTATGGTTGGGCTGGGACACATGAGAACCACCATGAACATTATGACTGGTAGTAGCAGTAGGACTTGTATTATTAGTAGAACTTTTAAGTTGAATGAATATGAAAATGTTCTGTCAGCAGGTGACTTACTGTTTTCCAGTGTATTTCACTGTTTGAGGGAACAACGTCTGTAGCACAAGGGGCTGGAACTAACATATTGGACACAATCACTGTCCAGGCACATTAAGTGATCCTAGGCTACCACTATTCACACAATATGATCTCACTGGGATGCTATGTTGAAGAGTACTATTTTCTTAGCTTATTTACAAGAAGTTATAAGCCATGTTAGTTGGACGTGTTTACTTTGTATTGGCCTGCTGAATGTACTGTGGTTGGTCCCCTGAAATACCATTCCTTACATGTGTCTTGTAGTGAGACAGTCCCTTAGTATCAAGGTACATGTCATATCGGGATACTGCCCTTCTTCAGTCTTCTTCAGTATGTGTTCAGAAAGATTTGTCAGTAACATAAACTTCATTCACATATGCCTTGCCAGTCCAGTCCCCTCATAAACATTTACCACTACCTTGGGTTATTTCCAAAGCAGCTTACTTCTTGCTACCATATTTGTTTCAAATAATCATGTCATACATACATATTTGATGGATAATATCTGCAACATGAGTCTACATAGAAGGATTATACATATGGCTTTCATGTTTGCTGTCATTCATATTGGACGGACATTCTGCTTCTAATCGGGTCATATCAGATGACAACTTATTTTCTAATCAGCTTGAAACTGTTTCCTTTAAAACTTATTGTGTATTACATGTTTGTGTGAATAAATTAACAAGGATTTTTATATATTATTATTCAGGTATTGGATACCAAGTGCAGGACATCCGGAGCAGATTTTGTTAGATGATTTTCACCAAGCTATAAAGCTATCAAGGCTGGTACTTGAGGCCTGGGCTGCATCAGGTGAGCAACCTTTAAACACGTTTTACGTTTACTCTGTGATGCCTTCTAGATAAACAAGGTGTGAAATGTGTGTGCAAAATATAATTCTAATGATGTATGGATCATAAATATTGATGTCCCCTCGGGGTGTATAAATGAGACACACATTGTGGTGATGGGGATACTTTATGGCTGTTGGGTTAATGGCTGAGAGATTGTTTTCCTCCTGTGATACAGTCTGATATTTGAATGCACAATGTTGTGTTTTCCGGTGTTACAATTAGTAATAATTTGGTTGTATTGCCATTTAGAGATATCTTTGAAATCTCTGTGTGAAAGCACTGTATCATGCTTATAGGGCCATACATAGTGTACATAATTGCTTCTGTGAAAGCATAAGTTGTGTGATTATTGCAGTTGAGTTGTTATGAACTGGTTTTGATCTTGTCCAGTTCACTCAAATAAATCCCAGTTGATTAACAGATATATGTTTACTTTCTGTACAACCCTGTAGGACCCTATGCAACCCTGTAGAACCCTGAAGGACCCTGTAGAACCATGAAGGACCCTGTAGAACCCTGAAGGACCCTGTACAACCCTGTAGGACCCTGTAGGACCCTGTATAACCCTGAAGGACCCTGTAGGACCCTGTACAACCCTGTAGGACCCTGTAGAACCCTGAAGGACCCTGTAGGACCCTGTTTGACCCTGAAGGACCCTATGCAACCCTGTACAACCTTGAAGGACCTTGTACAACCCTGTAGGACCTTGAAGGACCCTGTACAACCCTGTAGGACCCTGTACAACCCTGTAGTACCCTGTACAACCCTGTACAACCCTGAAAGACCTTGTAGAACCCTGTACAACCCTGTAGGACCTTGAAGGACCCTGTAGAACCCTGAAGGACCCTGTAGGACCCTGTAGGACCCTATGCAACCCTGTACAACCCTGAAGGACCTTGTACAACCCTGTAGGACCTTGAAGGACCCTGTACAACCCTGTAGGACCCTGTACAGCCCTGTAGGACCTTGTACAACCCTGTAGGACCCTGTACAACCCTGTAGGACCTTGAAGGACCTTGTACAACCCTGTAGGACCCTGTACAACCCTGTAGGACTTTGAAGGACCCTGTACAACCATGTACGACCCTGTATAACCCTGTAGGACCCTGTACAACCCTGTACAACCCTGTAGGACCTTGTACAACCCTGTAGGACCCTGTAGGACCTTGTACAACCCTGTAGGACCCTGTACAACCCTATACAACCCTGTAGGACCCTGGAGAACCTTGTAGAACCTTGAAGGGCCCTGTAGGACCTTGTACAACCCTGTAGGATCCTGTATAACTCTGTAGCATCCTGTAAAGCCCTTTAGCATCCTGTACAACCCTATACAACCCTGTAGGACCCTTTACCACCCTGTAGAACCCTGTACAACCCTGTACAACCCTGAAGGACCTTGTAGAACCCTGTAGGACCCTGTACAACCCTATAGGACCTTGAAGGACCCTGTAGGACCCTATTCAACCCTGTACAACCTTGAAGGACCTTGTACAACCCTGTAGGACCTTGAAGGACCCTGTACAACCCTGTAGGACCTTGTACAACCATGTAGGACCCTGTACAACCCTGTAGGACCTTGGGGGACCCTGTACAACCATGTACGACCCTGTATAACCCTGTACAACCCTGTACAACCCTGTAGGACCTTGTACAACCCTGTAGGACCCTGTAGGACCTTGTACAACCTTGTAGGACCCTGTACAACCCTATACAACCCTGTAGGACCCTGTAGTACCTTGTAGAACCTTGAAGGGCCCTGTAGGACCTTGTACAACCCTGTAGGATCCTGTACAACCCTGTAGCATCCTGTAAAGCCCTGTAGCATCCTGTACAACCCTATACAACCCTGTAGGACCCTTTACCACCCTGTACAACCCTATGCAACCCTGTACAACCCTGAAGGACCTTGTAGAACCTTGAAGGACCCTGTACCACCCTGTAGGACCCTGACCCACCCTGTAGGACCCTGTACAACCCTGTAGGACCTTGAAGGACCCTGTAGGATCCTGTACAACCCTGTAGCATCCTGTAAAGCCCTGTAGCATCCTGTACAACCCTATACAACCCTGTACAACCCTGTACAACCCTGTAGGACCCTTTACCACCCTGTACAACCCTATGCAACCCTGTACAACCCTGAAGGACCTTGTAGAACCTTGAAGGACCCTGTACCACCCTGTAGGACCCTGACCCACCCTGTAGGACCTTGTACAACCCTGTAGGACCTTGAAGGACCCTGTACGACCCTGTACAACCCTGTAGGACCTTGAAGGACCCTGTACGTCCCTGTACAACCCTGTAGGACCTTGAAGGACCCTGTACGACCCTGTACAACCCTGTAGGATCTTGAAGGACCCTGTACAACTCCGTAGGATCTTGAAGGACCCTGTACAACCCTGTACAACCCTGAAGGACCCTGTACAACCCTATACAACCCTGTAGGATCTTGAAGGACCCTGAAGGACCCTGTACAACCCTGTACAACCCTGTAGGATCTTGAAGGACCCTATACAACCCTGTACAACCCCGTAGGATCTTGAAGGACCCTGTACAACCCTGTACAACCCTGAAGGACCCTGTACAACCCTGGACAACCCTCAAGGACCCTGTACGACCCTGTAGGACACTGTAAACATCTTGTCTGTTGCTTGTTATGTCCCCATTAACATCCAAGTGGTACTTTGTGTATTCATGACAGACAGACTTTCTTTACGGTTGAGCAGGCGTACAAGAGCTGAATCAAATACACTTTGAGAAGTGAATTTGGAAACGAAAACATGGATGTCAAATAGACATACAAAGCTTGACTCATTCCATTCACTGGCTGTTGAAGGGCTACCAATTGTGGCAGCAGAACATTGGTGAAAAGCTCTGCTATAAATTATCCTCATAAATACTAATCTGCTTTCTGCTGCCCTCCAGTTTTTACCATTCAGATGCTAGACTTTATGTGAAGACTGTACACTATATACTGTGCTGCTCTCCGAGATATGGGGTTATTTATTCTGAAAGTAGTGATCACTTGTTGATGTTTTTATTGGGAAAATTACCATTGCCAAGTATAGTGCTCATATACACTGATACGATAATGTATTATTGAACCACGAACAGCTTTCATTATATATGTATCATGACGCCAACAGTGGTATATGTCAGAAAATATTTATTTTGTTGACATTCAACAATCTTGAACTGATAAGTTCCAGCCATTCTTAATCTGGGGTGTGAGTGAACCAGGGAAGCAGATGTCGGTCGGGGCCAGGGGAACTTCCTGACACTTCACATGTTGTTGATATTCATTTGTTAATCTCTATTTATAATGGGTATTACTGCAAGTCAAGTTATTCGATCAGGGTCAAAGTATCCCAGTTTTCATGAGTGAGTGAGTTTGATTTTACGCCACTGTTAGCAATATTTCAGCAATATCACGGCGGGGACACCAGTAATGGGCTTTAGACATTGCACCCATGTTGGGAATCGAAATCGGGTCTTTGGCGTGACGAGTGAACGCTTTAACCACTAGGCAACAGACCACCCCCGGTTTTTATGATGTGTGATGTCTTATATCGTTCACTGCCAGGCGTAATTCCGATCTATTGGTGAACATATCTATGTAGCCTCACTCATCTCTCTCCACTAGTTCACCCACATGTTTCTGATCTCCCCCATAACCTGCTACAAGCAGTACACACCCCAACTTCCTGCTGTTACACCCCCAGCCACACTAATCAGGGACTACATTCCTGACAACTCTAGACAATAAGGATGCACATAGCTGACATTCCCACCACCTTGCAACACCATGGTGCCACCTGCCAGCTCGGCCCAGCACTTCTGGCAGTCTGGTCACTCCCGCTGCTTGTAGTGGACAGTCACACATACCAGGAGGCTTGACCAGCAACACAGCCCCAGGGATGCCCAGGACATCCATCTTCTGTCAAAGTCTATGTGGGTGTGGTCAGATGGTCTATTGGGACATGGTGGATCAGTTTTGCAGCCATATGTTGTCACTTGTGAACTGGGCTTGAGACACTGTCCTGGACAACTCACTACACGCGGCAGTCTGTGGACAGCCGGGGATCTTGTGTCCTTTGATCCAACAGACCTGTAGGACCAGTGGTCACAATTGCTGCTTTGTCATACTTGACCATCAGGACATATCATCTCACAGTTGTAAAAGATATCTGTGTACCCTAACAGCTCACTCACTCACTCACTCACTCTCATGCTCTCACTCACTCACTCACTCACTCTCACGCTCTCACTCACTCACTCACTCACTCACTCTCACCCACTCTCACTCTCTTTCACTCACTCACTCTCAATCACTCACTCTCACTCACTCTCACTCTCTCTCACTCTCTCTCACTCACTTACTTAAGTCTCATCAAACACTCATTCCAGTTTCATCAAACAATCACTCACTCCAATCTCATCAAACAGTCACTAATTCCACCACTCCAGTCTCATCAAACAATCACTCACTCCAATCTCATCAAACACTCACTCATTCACTCACTTCAGTCTCATCAAACACTCACTCACTCGCTCCAGACACATCAAACACTCAATCCAGTCTCATAAAGGCACATCATGATGTCATCATTTATAAAGATAATGAAATTGAATGGCTTAAAATGGGATATCTTTTCATTGTTAAAGGAATAAATAGAAGCCCCAAGTGACTGGTTCCTATTTGACACAATGTATTGTGTTGACAAAGTACTATGCATTGGCTTCCCAGTATCTCCAGTCAACAACTAAGCTAATACAGCAGGGCTGTTGACAAGCTTATTTACTCAAACCATATTTCATATTTTTCACAAAAGAAATCTGTGGCTAAAAAAACAATATCCCCCAAGAAGCCTGCTAAAAGGAGCGTGTGAAATATTTTGATATACTGCAGTTGTCAGGTGTTTGGAGGTCTATTGTCACTCCCACTAAGACCCATCCTATTAGCCAGGTTTGACCTTACAGGGGCTGTGTTACAAGTCACTTACGTTCCATGTAGGCTGTCGTGTCATGTCAGTGGAATAGGACATTTATGTAGACATAGTACCCAATTTGGGTCACACTCGCTGTGACTAAAGAAATTCAGTCTTGTTCTGACACACAGTGAACAACAAACGTGGTATTAGTTTCAATCTGTGAAAACAGATTTGTCCACTTGCCGCAGACTCACATGACCATGTGGGGGGGGACACAGGCCAGGCCTGTCAGTCATGTGTTATGTGTAGCTATACCCAGCCTATATACCTGTCAGTCATGTGTTATGTGTAGCTACCCAGCCTATATACCTGTCAGTCATGTGTTATGTGTAGCTATACCCAGCCTATATACCTGTCAGTCATGTGTTATGTGTAGCTACCCAGCCTATATACCTGTCAGTCATGTGTTATGTGTAGCTATACCCAGCCTATATACCTGTCAGTCATGTGTTATGTGTAGCTACCCAGCCTATATACCTATCAGTCATGTGTTATGTGTAGCTATACCCAGCCTATATACCTGTCAGTCATGTGTTATGTGTAGCTATACCCAGCCTATATACCTGTCAGTCATGTGTTATGTGTAGCTATACCCAGCCTATATACCTGTCAGTCATGTGTTATGTGTAGCTATACCCAGCCTATATACCTGTCAGTCATGTGTTATGTGTACCCTTTACCCAGCCTATATACCTGTCAGTCATGTGTTATGTGTAGCTATACCCAGCATATATAACTGTCAGTCATGTGTTATGTGTAGCTATACCCAGCCTATATACCTGTCAGTCATGTGTTATGTGTAGCTATACCCAGCCTATATACCTGTCAGTCATGTGTTATGTGTAGCTATACCCAGCCTATATACCTGTCAGTCATGTGTTATGTGTAGCTATACCCAGCCTATATACCTGTCAGTCATGTGTTATGTGTAGCTATATCCAGCCTATATACCTGTCAGTCATGTGTTGTGTGTAGCTATACCCAGCCTATATACCTGTCAGTCATGTGTTGTGTGTAGCTATACCCAGCCTATATACCTGTCAGTCATGTGTTGTGTGTAGCTATACCCAGCCTATATACCTATCAGTCATGTGTTGTGTGTAGCTATACCCAGCCTATATACCTGTCAGTCATGTGTTATGTGTAGCTATACCCAGCCTATATACCTGTCAGTCATGTGTTATGTGTAGCTATACACAGCCTATATACCTGTCAATCACATGATATATGCTACATGTCCACATTGTAGACATGTCAAGGGACAGTACAAGATGGGTGCAAAAACTATGTCCCAAATGTGTCCAAACCTAGATGTGATAGTGACAAG